TATGAAAACGTACTTACAGGCTGTGAGTCAGAACAGCCGGCATTGTAGTCTACTCTCCCAGGATCAGGAAACAGTCCTCCATAAAATGCGCTCCACACATCTGAATATTTGGGTTGAACTGTTCTGGAACCGTGTTGTAAATACAACTTAACCACTGATTTCTTGTTGTGTCCTCTTTTGGAAGACCAAACAAAGTAGTTTCGCTTTCACAATGAAACACACAGCGTCTCCACGACATGGTGGCGGCGGCAACAATACTACAGCGAGAATCAAAGTTACGCCTTCTCTCTTTGCGTAAACACTTGGGCGGTGTTATGCAGATCTTCCCACACAGTGATGTAGACATGTGGGGGCGTATTTAAACAAGGCATTTTAGGAGGGCGTGGACGAATATCTCTTTGGGTTTGAGACTTTAGTCTTTGCAACTTTAGGGATCTTATCTATGCACGAACAGCTTGTAACACTCCAAAGAGAAAGGAAAACTTGAAATTGCATCATATGACCCCTTTAAACAACGTGAAACACATCCTGCATTTTCACGCAGGACGTGAAAATGATTACTACGTCGGGCTGAAACTAGCAAATTGCGACAGGTCGGGTGTATGATAGAGCCCACTGTATGGATAATCAAGTCAACTCAAGTTGCTTCAGTTCTTTCACTGTTTTGTTTGGAAGCACAACCCTTTTATTCCACATCCTCTGAATTATGAACCATCTCCTTCACTTGGTAATCAGTCAATCTACCTAATTTCCTGCTAGACCTCACAATAACGGCCATTACACTTTTCCAGAAGCATATCTATACCCTTCTCCACCTAAGAATAGCTGTCACAAATCTGCCGAAAACTGCCTCTGCTGACACTGTAACACAGTAACATTCAGTCCACCGTAAAAAGAGTCATTTTGAAAGGATACACACGCTCTCTCTCTTACACACGTACACCCTAAATGCAATCACACGCAAATGGACACTTATCCATAATCATACACAGAAGTAAACATCTGCACATACACACACAGACACATTTCAACTCAATACACACTCATATAAGTAAACAACTCCCATGCAAACTCCTCTCTGCTGGAAGACTAGATTATATGGTGCAGGAAACAGGGGCATGAAATCTGCGGCAGCTGCCCCAGGCTGAGAGACACAAGGCTGCGGGCACAGACACACACACAGATTAGACTTATGCCTACACATGCCTACACAACCACAAACACACAATGCACAAGTGTTAGTGAGCACACAGACAGACAGACACACAAGAAGGATGGTAAGAAAGAGGGAGGGCGAATTCCATTGGAAAGTGAGCATCACTACAGCCGCCTCATTTCCAAGGGCAGAACACTTCAAGTACTGTACGTCTTATACTGTAAGTGGATATTGAAAAACACAATACATGACATACATCACTGCCACTCATTATGAACATGAATGTTACCTTGATAACATAGCAGCAAAAATTATACTTGTAGATGTTAAGATTGCTGCAGCAAAACAAACTTTTGTGTAAAATATTTCCTCTTCATGTGGTGCTTGATAAAAACAAAAATGAACATAAAATATGTACAGAAAGAACACACAAAAGAAAGAGTATCTCCCATGTAGGCCTTGAGTGAAATAATAAGTCCTCTGTCCATAAAATTGCTTCTCCAGTGAAAGACATCTTATCTGAATCTGTAGAGAAATATGCACAGATCAAGCACTGTTTACAAGCTAAAATGGCCCAAAACAGTTCTAAACAAATATGTTGGTGGATTTTCATGTGAGAGGACAACAACAGGGGATGGACTTTTTCACTGAAAGAAGCATTATTATAGATTCATATTTTGGCTATTATAATGCCTTGATAGATTTATTACAAACTCACAGCTCTTTGATTCACAAGATATTAACTCATGGACTGGAGTGGTGTGGATTACTTGTGGATTATTGTGATGTTTTTATCAGCTGTTTGGACTCGGCACTCTGACGGTACCCATTCACTGCAGAGGATCCATTGGTGAGCAAGTGATGTAATGCTACATTTCTTCAAATCTGTTCAGATGAAGAAACACTCATCTACATCTTGGATGGCCTGAGGGTGAGTATATTCAGCAACTATTTCTTTAAAACTAAGTGCGCAATTTAGGATCATGGAATCATAAAGGACAAAACGACTTTCTTTGGATGTACGCTTCTCTAACGGCCTTGTGGGAGGGCCCACTAAAGAGTGTCTTTTTTCTGCAGTGCCCTTCAAATGTGCAAAATGCAATTTGGAAGTTGCCCAGAGAAATAGAGATAAGACAGAAGGAAAGAAAGAAGATACCTGAGAAAAACATATAAAGATAACCTTAAAGTCAACTTGAAATGCCATGTGCAACCCATTTTATGTGATAAAAAGTAAACATATTCTACAGAAAAAAATGTGAGACAGGATTATTTTTGAAGTATTTAGGATTAGTATTTAGTTAATTTTTTTATTCATACATTGTTTTCTTTTAATATGTATATACTGTCTTATTATTTCATTGTTATTTTGGTACATCAATATTAAAATAAAGAATGCTTTCTTGGCAACTGGTTGAATAAAATAAGTTAATGTTTATTTTTTTTTCTTCACAAAAATGATGTGCACTGATGAATCATGCACAATAAAAGTAAACAGGATCAATTCTGAGTTTATGTTGACTTTAAATGAACATGCAAACACAAAAAAAAGCAAAGGCATGCATGCGAACGTTGCAAATTAAGTCATAAATATGCACAAAGCCATGAACACTCAAGCCCTCTGTAACACATGAATGATTTCAGCTACTCTGGCTGAATGGCATAACCCCTCTAACCCCAGCAGAGCCACACTCGTTTAATATGCAGCCTCGTTTCCTCTATATCACTTTTTTCTTTCCAAAAACACCCTCTAATTCTGCATAATTGCTCCTTGTCATTTTGTGCAAAGCAACTCAGAAAAACAGAATGACTCAAGACATTATGGGGCAGGAGCCTGCAGGGTCAGCACGGCCCAAACACCCCCTGAGCTCAGCACTTATGCATGTGATGTAGCAACGCATTACAAACAAAGAATCACATCAGAGCTCAATGCATCTCCTGTACAGCCACTCACACAAGTAGGGGCCTGGCTGTCAGGGTGAAATTTTCATCCTCTACACTTTTCTGACACTGCACTCCAGTTTGACTCTAAATTCTAATTCTAATTCATGCTGGATGCACAAAATAAAACTGCAAAGAATGGCTGATACTGATATAGGCAAGTCTTCATAATACTTTTTAGGCAGAGGCTATTTTCACTAAATTTTCACTAAAACTCAACAGTTTGGGTCGGTAAGACTTTTTAGTGTTTTAGCAGACCAAGGCTGCATTTATTTGATCAAAATTACTAAAATGTAATTTATTAAAATGTAAATTATTCCTGTGATGCAAAGCTGAATTTTCAGCATCATTACTCCAGTCTTCAGTGTCACATGATCCTTCAGAAAGCATTCTAATATGCTGATTTGCTGCTCAAGAAACATTTCTAATTATTATCAACATTTGTGCTATTTAATATTTTTTTGAAAACCATGAGTCTTCAGGATTCAGTGATGAATAGAGCATTCAAAAGAACGTCTCGGTTACGTATGTAACCCTCGTTCCCTGAAGGAGGGAACGGAGACGTCACGTCGGCTGACCGACGAAATTGGGATCTCGCTTAGAGAGACCAATCCACTTCGAGTGTAAACTAAACGAGCCAATGCACATTGGCATGCGATTATTGCATCCAGCTGCTGCTGATCACAGCGTGAGTATAAGTAGGCAGCAGATGCAACGCATATTCAGCTTTTCGCTTC